AGCTCTACCAGGAGGGGAAGCTAAAGACTCTTAGTCATTTGCAGCAATGGACCTCCATGCCTCCATTTCCTTGGGATACCTGGAGGACAGGGTGGCTGCTCACTGGGACAGAGTCTCTTCCATCTCCTGGCTAAATGCCATCTGAATCCCACCTAGGCTTAGTATCTGGCGGGGTTTAAGCAGGTTTGACATATTGCTGGTTTGTAGGTGAAGTTCAACAAAGAGAGACACCTCCTATCCTAGAGGCCTGCAGGCTTAGGCCCTTGCTTGTGAGACAAGGATTCATTTGAGGGTCCCAGCAGACTTTTCTAGAAACTTTACCCACAAGAAGTTCCCCACGAGCTGGGCAACAATCACTGCAGAATGTGCAATTTCTGGCTTCCAGATTGTTTGTATCAAGCTTTGGCAGGTGGTACAATAACTGGCTGCCCCAGATTCTTCTGGGCTTTAGCTGATTTTGAACTATATCCAGGGCTGAGGAGGGAACATACTGTGATGGTATCAGAACTCTATGGGAAGGCAAAAAATAAAATAAAATAAAAGATGAGCAACAGCTTAAAGAGAAGCCTAGAAACAAAAGGCAGCCAAGCCCAGGTCACACTGTGGATGAGCCCTCTCCTTCCCCATGCCTATGCCTACCTACTCCCTGATCACTGCTATGGCCTGGGGCTTTGGCTCAAAGACACTAACCACAGGTGTGCCCTACTGCTCCTTTAATACCCCAAGCTCACTCCTACCTCAGGACCTTTGTATTTGCTGTTTCCCAGCCTTAAGCATGGTGTGCTCCCTTGTATATTAACTCTATGGTTAAATGCCATCTACCAAAGAACTTCCTGAGGCTGGTGCTGCGGTGTTATCAGGTAAAGCCGCCGCCAGCAGCACTAGCATCCCATATGGATGCCAGTTTGAGTCCCCACTGCTCCATGTACAATCCAGCTCTCTGCTATGGCCTGGGAAAGCAGAAGATGGCCCAAGTGCTTGGGCCCCTGCACCCATGTGCTCCTACATGGAAGAGGCTCCTGGTTCCTGGCTTTGGATCAGCACAGCACTGCCCGTTGTGGCCAACTGGGGAGTGAACCAGTGGATGGAAGACCCCCCCCCTTTTCTCCCTCTGCTTCTCTGTAACTCTTTCAAATAAATAAATAAATCTTACCAAAAAAAAAAAAAAAAAGCGTCCTGACCAGCCTGTCTCAAATGCCCCATGCAGTCCTTAATTCAGCTTTATTTGTATATGTGCATTTCTATCCCCAAACATATTATATGCTGATTTATTTATTTTTTCCTCTGTTCTTCTAATATGGCCTGGACTTCGTTTTGCTCACTGATATATCTCTGGTACCCAGAAAAGACACTGGTTTGCTGATGGTTGGGTTCAAATCCCAGCTCCACTGCCGGTGGGATCTTAGGCGAGTTACTTTTTTTGTTTGTTTTGCCCAACTGAAAAGATGGGAAGGATCCTCACTTCTCCCTCCAAGGTTGTTGTCTGAGTGAATCAATGTATGTGAAACAGGTCAATGGTCCACAAGCAACAGCGCCCACTAGGAACATCATCATACTTATTATGCTCCCAGGAAACTGCCAACATGTCAATTCCGAGAAGCTGAGGAGGGCGATGAGAGGTACTCCCAGCACCTGGCACTGGTGGAGCTGGCTTTGGGACTTCTCTCTGAACTGGCAAGCCCTAGACCAGGGGCCTGCGCTCATCTTTTGCTTGCTCTCTGCTGCCCTCTGGAGGCTGGCAGTGAAGATAGGCACACAGGCCGCTGCAGAATCTCCACAGAGAGCATGGTTTGCCTTGGAAAAGAATGACACTTTGCCTTATGACAGTCCCTCTACTTGGGCATCCAAACCACCATAATTTATAGAAGAGGAAACTAAAATATCAAGAGGATAAAGTGACTTGTCCAAGTCTTCAGAGCAGGTAAATGGCTGAACTGGCCTTGGGAACAGGAATAGGAAGGTTTGCCTACAAGCTCTAAAAACTAGTAACATCACAAAAGACAGAAAGCACATATTATGTAAAACATTTATACATGCCTTGCACAGTGAGGTTCTGAAGTGTTAGCCAGTGCCTCCCCCGCCCCTGATATCTCCTTCACCTTCTCTCCCTTCCCCCTCCAGTCAGGCTATTGCATGATCACCGCAATGGGTTAAAGCCCTGGCCTGAAGTGCCGGCATCCCATATGGGCTCCGGTTCTGGTCCTGGCTGCTCCTCTTCTGATCCAGTTCTCTGCTATAGCCTGGGAAGGCAGTGGAGGATGGCCCAAGTCCTTGGGCCCCTGCACCCACATGGGAGACCCGGAAGAAGCTCCTGGCTCCTGGCTTTGGATCGGCACAGCTCCAGCCATTGCAGCCATCTGGGGAGTGAACCAATAGAAGAAAGACCTTTCTCTCTGCCTCTTCCTCTCACTGTCTGTAACTTTACCTTTCAAATAAATAAATAAAATCTCTCTCCTTTTTTTTCTTTTTTTTACAAGCAGAGTTAGTGAGAGAGAGAGAAAGGTCTTCCTTCCGTTGGTTCACCCCCCAAATGGCTGCTATGGCCGGCACGCTGAGCCGATCCAAAGCCAGGAGCCAGGTGTTTCCTCCTGGTCTTCCATGCAGGTGCAAGGCCCAAGCACTTGGACCCTCCTCCACTGCCTTCCCAGGCCACAGCAGAGAGCTGGACTGGAAGAGGAGCAATTGGGACAGAATCCGTGCCCCAACCGGGACTAGAACCCAGGGTGCTGGCGCCGCAGGCAGAGGATTAGCCAAATGAGCCGTGGCACCAACCTAATAAATAAATAAAATCTTAAAACAAAATGGGAATAGGAGAGGGAGGAGGAAGAGGGGTGAGAGAGTGGGTGGGAGGGCAGGTATGGTGGGAAGAATTGCCATGTTCCTACAGTTGTAATTATGAAATGTATGAAAATGTATGAAGTTTGTATTCCTTAAAAGGTTTCTAGAGAAAACATAAAATAACATAAAAAACGAGAGAGAGAAGACATCAAGCAGCCTCTTCTCTTGGAGGAATTTGCTAGACTCCTGACCTAGGTAGGCCAAAGTATGGAGGAAAGGTGCAAAGAGAAAGATCAAGGCCATCCCCTCCCCTTCATCCTAGAAGTGTTCCCCAGCACGAGGATGGGAGCTGGATGGGAGTCAAGAGACATAAATATGCTTGGTTCTGAGACTCGGCTCATCCCTGCTCCCTACACACCAAAGAGCAGGCAGCATCTCTATGGATACGTGGGTCTGAGACAGAGAAGACCTCTGACTTGCTTCCCAGAGAGAATGACTGCAGGGTGTGTCCAGGACAGGAGGGCCCGAGGCAAGCTTGCCGAGGCAGCATGAAGAGGTGGAGGGAGAACTATCTGCATGGTGACCTTCAGGCACCAACCATGTAGAACCAGACAGGACAAGGATAGATGGCACCAAAGGTGCCTTTGTAGGTCCCTAACAACCTGGAACCCTGTACTCTGTCCCACCCCAACTCCAAAATGCAAGCTGTGAAGGGAACTCAGAACTGACTGGGACTAAGTGTCAGCATTTTTTTAAATATAGGGGCTCAAAATAAAGATGGAGGGTTTTAGAAATAAACTGATTCTTCTTACATGAGTTCAGGGGCTGAAACTGGAAGAATGTGTCTTTAAGAAAATAGTGTTGAAAAAAAAAGAAAATAGTGTTGAGTAAATGCATGACTTAAAAGATTAATTTGGATGCCAGTGCTGGCATTCCATATGGACACCAGGCCGAGTCCTGGCTGCTCCATTTCCCATCCAGCTTCCTGCTAATGTGCCTGGGAAAGCAGTGGAAGATTGCCCAACACCTGGGCTCCCATGTGGGAGACCAGAAGAAGCTCCTGGCTCCTGGCTTTGGCCTGGCCCAGCCCCAGCCATTGAGGCCATTTGGGGGGTGAGCCAGGGAATGAAAGGCCTTTCTCTCTCTCTCTCTCCTTTCCCCTTGTCTTTCTCTGTAACTCTTTCAAATTTATACATAAATCTTTTTTTAAAAAAAAAAAATCAGTTTAGGAGTGAAGTGTGGGCAGTGGACAAAGGCAGCAACATCGTCACGTGCTGGGCTCGGTGCACGTTATTTATGTCTGCCCTGAAACATAGGTGACTGCTCCTTAGAAGGGCTGAGCTTGTCTCCCAGTTTGCCCTGCACAATTACCATCTACCCTGTCATCTTGGCTTCACGTTTGCAAGGGTTCCAGTCTGGGCAGTAAGTTGTTACTCTGCTTGAGATATAAAGACTGAGAGTGGCCCCAGGGGCGGGCCAGCTCTGAGCCAGGCACCGTGAAACAGAAATAAGGTTTTTCCAGGCAGGTGGGGCAGGGGGCCAGAGGGCCAGGAAGTGGAGCCTGGGGAGGGGCTGAGAACCTCAGGGAGATGGCAACTGAAAGGAAGCAAGGGGCAGGTGCGGTGTCTTGAGAACTGTGGGGAGGTTGAGGATCGGACACTGGGTGGAGCTGAGAGGACACAGTGGAAGGTTTATACTTAGTATTTCAGATGGAGCAGCTCAGGGGCACAGCGAGGCCCAGGTTATAGGTACAGGGGCCAGAAATGAAGATCTGATTGAGTTTGGAGACCAGATAGGAACTGGGTGGCTGCAGAGAGACACAGAAGGGGCTATAGTCTCTACCCACTTAGTCCTTTTGAGTTTTGAAACTTGTGTCTAAATTACTTATTTAAAAAAAAAACTATAAATAAAACTAAAATTTAAAGGAATCCAGCCTGTCTTGTCTATACAATTTCCTAGATCAACTGTAACACCATTTTGTTTTTAAAACCTCATTACAAAAACAAATGGCCTGTAAACATTTTTGAAAAAAATGCTCAACTCACTCATTTAAAGAAAAAAAAATAGAGACATAATGAGGTGCCAGTTTCCCCTTTCACAACAGTGAGAGTGGAGGGTGACAGGCCTCATACTTGTGTGTACACTTGTTGTGAGACTGAAGATGAGCATGGCCTCACATGGGCCATTTTGGCAACATCTGTATAGCTTTGAAACGCACATACCTTTTGGTAGCAGCAATCCTTTGTCTGGAAAGTTATCTTACGGATATACCTGTGAACAAAGACAGATAGATGGTTTGGGCCAGTGACTCATTTCACTGTACTCCTATCAGAGGGGCATCATGGGAGTTAAATGATATAATACATAGAAGTTTAATGAGGTTCTGGCACACAGTTAATGTTCAATAAATGACAGAAGTTATTATTACAACATTGCTCATGGAAGAAAAATATTAGAAAAACCTAGGCGTCTATCAATGGAAAACTGATTTTAAAAAAAAGAAACAAAAAAGCTTTGTCTTTATTTTGTAAAACCATGAAGGTTTTAAAGAGAATGAGGAAACTCAGAATGATCTTTTAGAAATATGGTTGGATGGGAAAAAGCAGAGTGCAGAATGGTCTTTTTTTTTAACGATTTATTTATTTGAAAGAGTTACACAGAGGAGAGTCAGAGAGAGAGAGGTCTTCCATCCAATGGTTCACTCCGCAGATGGCTGCAATGGCTGGAGCTGTGCCGATCCGAAGCCAGGAGCCAGGAGCTTCCTCCCAGTCTCCCACATGGGTGCGGGGGCCCAAGGACTTGGGCCATCTTCCACTGCTTTCCTGGGCCATCGCAGAGAACTGGACAGGAAGTGGAGCAGCCGGGTCTTGAACCCGCGCCCATATGGGATGCTGGCACTTCAGGCCAGGGCGTTAACCCACTGCGCCACAGCGCCAGCCCCAAGAATGGTCTTAAGGCTCGCCATTACTCGTGTGTGGAGCATGCCTATGAGTACAGGGTCTCTCCAAGTAGGATGTTACAAAAACTGTTGCAGTGATGTCTGCTGGGAAGGGAACTGGGAGGGAGGGGCTCAGGGGTCACTGTATGATCTTGTGTATCTCTGATAATGTCCACCATGAGGATGTATGTATTCCCTATTCAAAGATAATTAAATAAATTCCCTTCTGGGTATACCCTCAAAATTGAAAGCCAAGAGTCAAATGGATACATGTATGTCAACATGCATAGCAGCATTCTTCAGAGTAGCTAAAAGGTGGAAACCACAGGAATATTCATCGACAGGTGAATGGATAAACATAGTGAGGTGTATACATACAATGGAATATTATTCAGCTTTAAAAAGGAAGGAAATTCTGACATGTGCTACAATGGGAGAATCTTGAGTACATTTTTCTAAGTGAAATAAACCAGGCACAAAAAGACACTGTAGATTCCTCTTACATGAGATGCACAGAAAGTCAGATTCTCAGAGAGAGGGTGGGTTAAGGGACATCAGGGGGTGCGGTGTAGGGAATGGGGGGATTAGTGTGCAAGTGGTACAGAGTTTCGGTTGGGGATGATAAAGAGGTTCTGGACACAGACAGTAGTGATGGTTGTACAGCAATGTAATTGTACTGAATACCTCTGAATCATACACTTAAAATGGTTAAAATGGTAAATTTTCTGTTACATTTATCTCACCACAAAAAGAAATAATTTTTTAATTTTGACTGGTGTTGTGTTAAACACAGAAATTAATCACAGAGAGCTGTATTGTATGAGACACAGAAAAGAGCCGTCCTAATGGAAAAAGGACTCTGGATCTCCAAATCCTAGTCCATCTGCTCTGCTCTTGTGGCTGGCGTTTGGGGGCACTGAGATTCAGAGCAGGGGTGAATGGCTGAATCAGGGACCAGAGGAGGAAGGCAGCGTCACCCAAGACTGGGGAGAAAAAGAGAGAGATGACAGGTGGGGGCAGCAGAGGCATTCCCACCTGACCACGCAGTTTCTTCTCGAGGAGGGAGGTAAGTGGGATGGGAATGGGGGGAGGGATTCTGACACAGGTGGAAATGATTGATCATTGAGGAGCATAACAGAGGGGTCATTTAGGGCACTGAATCACCACATTCCACTGAGGACCCTGGCATGGCTGGAAGCCACATCTCCTTTACCTCCTGGACTCAAACTCTGAAGGGGTTGGAACCTTTATTTGCTTAACACATTGGGGGGGGGCAGAAACCAACACCCCCCCAGCCCTCTGTCTGCCATAGGCTTCCTTCCTTCAGCAGCACCAACCTGGGGGTGGCAAGAGGCCTCAATTTTACATCAGGATTGAAGTCTGGAGTATTACCAGGGACAGGACGCTGTAATTACTGAAGTGAGACTGACACCAAGGGTGACCAGAACAACGATGGGACAAGCCCTAAATTTCATTTGGAGGCACAGCAAGATCTGCTCATGAGTGGGGAGAGGAAAACTCAAGTGGCTTCCTGATTTTACCCCAACCCATGTGTGTTCAGTGGCACAGGTACACATTATGCTCAATTATTAACATGCATATATCTTGCGGCTCCCTCTAGCCTGTAAGCTGAGGGCAGGGCCATGTCTCCCTATACTGCTTCCAGTGCCTACTGAAATACCATGCACGTATGTGCAAAGCAGGCACTGGGATGGCTGCTGATTCAATTACTGACCAAGGGGAGAGGTCCACATTGGGCAGCATGGTTTTGTTGCTGTGCTTAGGCAGGCAGGCAAGTAGTAAGTCCTGGCTAAGTTAGGCTGACTCTTCCTAAAGAGAGAGCCTGTGTTCCAGGGAACATGATGTAAAAGCGATGTTGCAGGTTGCCCAGGCTTAGGGGAAGAGGGGCAGAAGTGAGGTAGATGCAGATTGCCATTTTCCGCTTCTCTGTTAAGGCTGTTCTTACTCTGGAGTAAGGAGAGGAAGACTCAGACATGACACTACATGTGTCCTGTCATACCAGGAGTGAGTACTGCAATCACCTATAAGACCTCACCCCAAGCTCAATGCATTTATGAGAGACTCTTAAAGGGCCCCTTGTCTTCATCCTCCAAGCTATGTACTCCCGAGACATCCAACTAGCAGAAGCTGCTCAGAGTCCAATGCTCAAGGTATGGAAGTCTATCTGAAGTAGCTCAAGAAAAATTTTTCCACAAATGAAAGCCGAGAACTGGAAACACAAGGCCAGCTGATTCTGGTTTGGGGAATGGTAACACTGGAGAACACACTCGACCAGCCATGTCTCATGGCAGTATCCATGCTGAAGAATCTCCTTTGTTGACATGGCCACCACCCCCTGTTCATAGGACTGCAGAGGTAAGAGAGATGTGTGAACGTCTCCATTGCTGACTGCTTCCTTACTGCCCCTCTGGGAAGATAAACTCGACAGGAGGGAGGGTGCGGTGAGTCAAGCAACAAACCCCTCACTGAGTGTCCTCAGTGCACAGGGAAAGATGTCCCTCTTCAGACTGGTCCCCATGCCCAAAGTGAGCAGGGGAAACGGGGGAGGACATAGCTAGTGGTCTTCCAGGTACTCCTGGGACCATCTCTCAGCTCATGAGCTCACAGTGGAATGCTAGATCCCAGCATGCTTACTTGGAGGGAGGCTAAAAGACCCTCCCTCAAGAACAGAAGTCCACAAAGCTAAGGACACTGGGTTTCTAAGCCAGACGCCTATGAAGGGCTGGGTGACCCTTTCTCAGAAAAGCCAACTGATTTACAGGTGTCCTGACACATAAGGTCTACACAGCCTGTTACTTTCAGGGGCAGACATGTGGGTTAGCTTGCTGGCCTCTCACTTGTTCCCACCCCCTCATTCCCTAGAGACCCCAAGAAGCAGACTTGGTAAATAAATGGCTTCCTTGGGCCAGAAAACTTAGTTGAAATCGGGATTGTTTTGTACAAGTCCCCTGTTTTCTGGATTCCTAGGAGATACGTAACAACCCATACTGAATTGGAAGAGGTAGAAATAAGCACAAGACCACTGTGACTTCCATGGCTCAAGAGCATGGATTTAAGAGGGGTCGTTAGGCCTCTGTGCAGAGAATAGAACCGAGTATAGGTTGCAGCCACTCACTTCAGAAGTCTGACATTGCACAGAGGTGCACACGAATACATGCTCTCTTCACCAAGGAGGTGAAACCAGAATAGGGACGGGGAGGGCATGTAAAACAACAACACTACTGCAGGGCAACCTCGTCATTCATTCTGTTATCATCCTTTCCTATGTTGCATATAGATTATACAATCGATTGCCCCTTAGCTTAGCTCTCTCAGTCTTGTATAGGCTTTTAGCAAAAAGCTATAAAATTCTCATTTGAAGCTCCAAGGGCTGGGGATTCCTGCCTGTCCTACTCGATTTGCTCATGCACGTCCCCAAACCAGAAGCTACATCCAAGCTGTAACTCCAGATATTGAAAACCCGCTGTACTCACCTCTAGGGCAGTGGCCCGTGGATCCTGGCCCTTGAATCCAATCCCTTGTAGGTGGGCCTTGCGTTTGGAACCTTTCTTACCTCTGCTATTAACATAGCCCCTCCTCTATTGCCTTACCAACCACTGTGGAACCAAAAAGTCTTTGTCTATTCATAGACACTGTAAGAGTAACACTTGTTTTCTATTTTTTAATCTAATGTCAGTCTTCAGTGGTTCTCATTGGCTTATCTAATCAGTGTGTTCTAGGGAGGTCTATTACTTGTCTGTTTAGCTTGCTCAAGCACAACAGAGACCAGGCATAAACGGAGGAGAACCAGCTCCTTTAAAACAAGCAATCCTCTGAAACTATGCCAGAACTTTACTCCATGGGCTCGAGATTAAGGAGAACATTCCACATTTCATTGTCACTTCAGCTCTGCAAACCCCAAATCCTAACTCTTCAGAGAAGTTATGGACAAGAAAAACAAAGGAGGCATTTAAACACACCAAACTGCAACAAAAACCTTGCATACTTCGTGATTTTTCTAGATTTTATACTTTAATTTTTGGTGTCCTTTTAAAAAAATATTTGAGAGATAGCAAGAGAGAGGGAGAGAGGAAAAAAGAGTTAGGCAGAAGAGCTTCCATCCACTGGTTCACTCCCAAAATATCCACAATAGATGGCCAGGACTGGGCTGGGCCAAAGTTGGAATCTGGGAGCTCAATCCAGGTCTCCCATATGAGTGGCAGCAGCCCAATTAGTTGAGCCAGCACCGCTCTCTCCCAAGGTCTGCATCAGCAGGATAATGCAGCCAGGCGTGGAACTCAGGTACTCTGATGTGGGATGCAAGTGTCTTTACTGGCTTCTTAAACACTAAACTCAAGGCCTGCCCCTGGCCTCATTTCTCATTAATTATTATTATTTTTTTTTGTAAGTGGAAAATATATGAGGGAGAAAGAAGCGGAAAACAGGAAGTTTTGAGGGAGATGGGAAGGGAGTAAGAAAGAAGTTCAAGCAGAGGGAATGGGGACACAGAACTAGGAATCAGGGAAGAGGAGCATGATTGGGGTCTTAGCATCTCCAGGCACCAGGCATTGGACTTGGTACATACACATATCTTCTCTCACTAAACTCTCTCAATAGTCCTGCAAGGACAACATTCTCACCCCCAGTCTTGCAGATTGGAAACTGAGGCTCATGGACTCACAGACAGGAAGAAAAGTAGCTGTTGCAGGATCCATTTAAAAAAAGAAAAAGAAAAAAAGAATTCTCTGGGGCCGGCGCTGTGGCACAGCAGGTTAAAGCCCTGGCCTGAAGTGCCTGCATCGCACATGGGTGCCAGTTCAAGTCTCGGCTGCTCCTTTTCCGATCCAGCTCTCTGCTATGGCCTGGGAAAGCAGTAAAAGATGGCCTAAGTCCTTGGGCCCCTGCACCCACGTGGGAGACCTGAAGAATCTCCTGGTTCCTGGCTTCTGATCAGTGCAGCTCTGGCCTTTGTGGCCATCTGGGGAGTGAATCAGCAGATGGAAGACCTCTCTCTCTGTCTCTACCTCTCTCTGTCACTCTTTCAAATAAATAAAAGAAATCTTGCCAGTTCAAGTCCCAGCTACTCCACTTCTGATTCAGCTCCCTGCTAATGCACCTGGGAAAGCAGCAGAAGATGGTCCAAGTCCTTGGGTTCCTGTCACTCATGTGAGAGACCTAGATGAAGCTCCTGGCTCCTGGCTTTGGTGTGTTGTGGCCATCTGGGGAGTGAATCAGCTGATGGAAGACTTTTCTCTCTCTCCTTCTCTCTCTGTAACTCTGCCTTTCAAACAAATAAAAAATCTTTTTTAGAAGTCAATTTTTAAAAAAAGAACTCTGGGAGTGGGTGTTGTACAGTGGGTTGGGCCACCACTTTTGACACCATTGGAGTCCCAGCTGCTCTGCTTCTGATCCAGCTTCCTGCTGGTGTGCCTGGGAGGGCAGTGGAAGATGGCCCAGGCTCTTTGGCCCGTGCTGCCCATGTGAAAACCTGGATGGTATTTTTGGTTCCTGGTATTGGCCTGGCCCAGCCCTAGCTGTTGCAGGCATTTGGGGATTTGACAGTGGATGGAGAATTGATCTCTTGCGCTCTTTCTCTCGCTTGCTCTCTCCCTCCCTCTCCTGGTGTCACTCTTTCAAATAAATAAATCATTAAAAAACAAACAAACAAACAAAAACACCCTCTGTTTTCTGCCGTTTCCCAAAACCCCTTTGGTGATTTCTCGGAGTATCTTAAGCCTCCCTATTTCAGGGTTTACTTTGTCTTTCAGGTAGGAAATTTATCTTGGTTTGAAGTCTTCATTTTATTCCTGGACCATGTGGAGTTCTCCCTCAGTGGAAAAGCCACATCCCTGGACCCAGGCCTGCCTGAGGCAGACAGACGTGTGGAAGGATGCACTCCAGAGGCTATCACCAGGCCCACACAGGAACTCTACAACCCAGTTTCTCTTAATAATCCATGGAATCCCTGGTGGTCAGGACCTGGGAGGTCAATGTGTTGTGGGTTGCCTAAGACCTTTCAGGTTTTAGCAAGACAGGTTCTGACCCAGGAAATCCCCTAGTCCTGAGCAGACCCAGAGCAGTTTAGGCCAGAAACACACCCTCAGCCCTCAGGAAGCTTCCAGTCGGTTGGGGATTAGACAACAGCCCAAGCAGGAGGGTATGAGGCTCCAAAAAGAAGCACAAAGGGAGGGAGGGGTTCAGGGAAAGAAAAACCATGGGCGTTTGGAGGAGTCATTCATTCCACAACTGTTCCATGCTTACTAAGAGCCAGGCCCTAAGCTCAGCCCTGTCTGCTCAAGAAAAGCTCTGTGGAGAGAACAGCCTTGGAGATGCAAATTGAAGGGGTAGGACTTAGAAAAGCAGGACAACAGAAGCACATCTGAGGGGAAAGAGACGCAAAAATAGACCTGAGAGGCAGAAGACACAGCGGACACCTCTTGAGAACAGGGAAGCCATTTCCCTGGGTTCAGAGCAGGTGGGAGGAGGCAAAGTTCTAGGCCTGTGAAGATGCTGGGCCCGTCTGCAGAGATGTAAACAAGGGTGTCTGAACTCCAGGGACTGTGCAGTGGGCTTCAGAGTGGATTGTCACACAGGTGGAAAGATCGGTTGGGACGTTATTGCCAAATGCTTGAATTCTACCTACTCAAGTTTTGTCCAAATTGTTTGGACATTTCATATAGTTCAGATTTTTTTTTCCAGTCAGGAATATGAGGGTGAGATTTACCTGGATTGATGAACAGATAGGAAAGTATGGAGTGAGGAGTTTTCCCTTCAGGGTGCACAAAGGGATCAAGTTTGCAGGCTGAGGATCCTTCCTGAGGGAAGAAATAGGGAGGGAACCACCCTGGCATCATTGTGTCCAGTGTCCACTGGGGAGTTGGCTGGCACATTGCCTGTTCTCTGTCCAGCTCTAATGCCATGAGTTAGCCATTAACCAGTCCCTTTGAGAGTCTTTCTGTTGTGCTCTGAGGACAGCCACTTGACTGTTCTCTCTGAACAAAGGGAGAGGTGGGTAGAGGGAAAACGAGCACAGCCTGAAGTCCCCCAGTTACCACGGCTGCTCCCCACTTCTGCTGCCTCTGAGCCTTACAGTTTCCCACTCTACTTCTTAGAAGACTCCCTCATTTCTGTGCGTCAGAAGGCGAATTTCTCAGCAAAGGTATGTTTCTTGTTGGCAGAACCCAATTCACATTCAGAATGCCAACAGCATGGGATTCTGGGAAATAACACTACTGGCTTTCCACTTTCTGCAGCTAGAGGGCTGAAAAGGAGGTTAGAAGGCCGATCCAAGAATCTACTGCAGGGTTTCTAATTCTACCAATTTATCTAGGCTTTATGTGGTTTACCATTTTATGATTGTGTGTTGGTTCCATAAAACAAGACCCGAGCGGGAGGTGGTGAGAGGCATTCCCGGCTCTAATTGTGGCACAAAATGGATATTAACTCTGTAAGGACACTGGAGTCCCACATGAACTCAAGACCGGAATGAGGACAGAGGGCTTTGCCACAGAAGGGAGAAGTGCTGGGCAGAACTCTACTGTTAAATCTTCCCTAATTCCCCTTGTCTTTTTTTTTCTTTCTTAAAAAAATGTAATTCTAGGCTGGCGCCGCGGCTCAATAGGCTAATCCTCCACCTGTGGCGCCGGCACCCCGGGTTCTAGTCCCGGTCGGGGCACCGGATTCTGTTCCAGTTGCTCCTCTTCCAGTCCAGCTATCTGCTGTGGCCTGGGAGGGCAGTGGAGGATGGCCCAAGTGCTTGGGTCCTGCACCCGCATGGGAGACCAGGAGAGGCACCTGGCTCCGGATCAGTGCGGTGCGCCAGCCGCAGCGCGCCGGCCGCGGCGGCCATTGGAGGGTGAACCAACGGAAAAGGAAGACCTTTCTCTCTGTCTCTCTCTCTCTCTGTCCACTGTACCTGTCAAAAAAAAAAAAAAAAAAGTAATTATAGTCAGATTCAGAAAGGAAAGAGAAGTAAATGGAAGAGATAGGTTCACTATCTTGAACTAGAGTTTTTTATTTCTATTAAGGTTGAATTATTTTTCATGGGTTACTGAACTCTTGTATTTTTTGTGAATTGCCTACTCATATTCATGTTTATATTGGTGTGTTTGTCTTTTTCCTATTTATTTTATGAGTTATTTATCATCTACTATCATGTATTATTTTTGGTATCTGAGGAGGAATGATTCTAGGCCCCCCACTTCTTGAAAATGAAAATCCAAGAATGCCCAAGTCTCTTATATAAAATGGCACAATATTTGCATATAACATATACAGATTCTCCTGTACTCTTTAAATCATCTTTAGATTACTTATAATGTATTGTTTATATTTAGAATGTAATAATTGTTAGACTGCGGCCAGCGCCGTGGCTCAATAGGCTAATCCTCCACCTTGCGGCGCCGGCACACCGGGTTCGAATCCCGGTCGGGGCGCCGGATTCTGTCCCAGTTGCCTTTCTTCCAGGCCAGCTCTCTGCTGTGGCTAGGGAGTGCAGTGGAGGATGGCCCAAGTCCTTGGGCCCTGCACCGCATGGGAGACCAGGATAAGCACCTGGCTCCTGCCATCGTATCAGCATGGTGCGCCGGCCGCAGCGCGCCGGCCGTGGTGGCCATTGGAGGGTGAACCAATGACAAAAGGAAGACCTTTCTCTCTGTCTCTCTCTCTCACTGTCCACTCTGCCTGTCAAAAAAAAAAAATAATAATAATAATTGTTAGACTGGATGAGTATTGTTTAGGACAAGAAAAGAAGTAGAGGTGCAAATTTTTTTCAAATATTTTCCAAGTTTGACTGAATCTATGGATGTGGAACTTGACAATAGGGAGGGATGACTATATTGTAAATATTTTTCTATCACTTGTTATTCAATTTTGTTTACAATCTTTTTTCTTCTAGAAGGGCCGAAAGTGTATGAATTTTTATAAAATCCAATTCATCTATATTTTCCTTTAAGGTTTCCAGTTTTGTTGTCCATCTTAGAAAAGCTTTACCCATCACCAAGTTTGCATGTATGTATATAAATACAAAAATATATATAATACGTATATACACATTTTCTTCTAGTTCTTTTCTGTTTCTTTTAATATGTAAATATTCAATTCATCTGGACTTTAATTCTGTAGGCAATCAAGGATAAAGATTTAGCTTTATTGCTTGTTCTGAGTGTCACATCACATTTGTCAAATTATGTGCTCAGTGGTTTAAAAGGCTACCTTGATCACATAGTGAAAGTGTCTGTATGCGTGAATCTATTCTCACACTTTCAGACTACAGGCCCAGTACTCAGTTTCCCTTCCCTTCTATCCACCTACTCCTCAAACCAATGATTTCTGTCCCTACCAAATCATACTCACACAGCTAAATTGCCAAAGTCAGTGGACACTTTCCAGGTCTCTTTTTGATAGACTTCTCTAACACATCTGACACTATTGATGGTTCTTTCCTTCTTTTGTTTGCCTGTTTGCTTTGCTTTAGTATATTGTGGGACTTCTGGGCCACTGGTAAGTGCATCTTCATCTTTGTTAAATAATGCCATGCTGGGGCTGGTGCTGTGGCACAGCAGGTTAACGCCCTGGCCTGAGGCACCCACATCCCACAGGGATGCCTGTTCGAGAACCAGCTGCTCCACTTCCCATCCAGCTCTCTGCTATGGCCTGGGAAAACAGTGGAAGATGGCCCAGGTCCTTGGGCCCCTGAACCTGCGTGAGAGACCCAGAGGTGGCTCCTGCTCCTGGCTTCGGATCGGTGCAGCTCCGGCCGTTGTGGCCAACTGGAGAGTGAACTATCAGAGGGAAGACCTGTCTGTCTGTCTGTCTCTCTCTCTGCCTCTCCTCTCTGTGTAACTCTGACTTCCAAATAAATAAATAAATATTTTTGAAAAATGCCATGCAGTTTTGCAGAGTGGCTATAGCAGTTTATAACTGCACCAGCAGTGTGTAAAAGTCTAACTGGATTATTTAAGGGCAAGAGTTGGTAGATGTGGGATGTTCCAGTTCTCTGTCTCCAGTTATCACCCTTGTGCCCTCTGCTACCAAACTTCCTTTGACCTGTGAGTTTGGATCCCGCTGCTTGCCTAAGCCAACCCTACCACCATCACCATCCTCTTTCAAACACAAACCAATAAAGAACTTTAAAGACTCAACTCCCTAAAACCCCATTTTTGCATTTTGCTCCCCATTCCACAACTACTAGTAGCTTCCCAGTGCAATCAAATGAAGTTTGAACTTATTGGGTTGGCACTAAATGCCTTCCCCTACCTGGATTCCTCATTCCCACCCTCCCAAAGGGGCAGATTTGAATCCAGCCAAAGGGACCCATCCTCTGCTTAGGGTGCAAAGCCTAGGCAGTACAGCCTCTGTGCAAAAACAGTGTGGCAATATTTAAAAAGATGAGGATACAGGGCCAGCGCTGTGGTGTAGTGGGTAAAGCTGCCGCCTGCAGTGCCAGCATCCCATATGAGCGCCGGTTTGAGACCCAGTTGCTCCACTTCCAATCCAGCTCTCTGCTATGGCCTGGGAAAGCAGTAGAGGGTGGCCCAAGACCCTGGGACCTAGAAGATGCTCCTGGCCCCTGGCTTTGGATCGGTGCAGCTCCGGCCGTTGTGGCCAGTTGGTGAGTGAACCAGTAGATGGAAGACTTCTCTCTCTCTCTACCTTTTTTTCTCTCTCGGTGTAACTGTGACTTTCAAGTAAAATAAATAAATCTTAAAAAAAAAAAAAAAAAAGATGAGAATATACACACCAAATGACCAGCCAGTTTCATTACTTTGAAAAATTTCTGCATATGTAACAGGACATTGTGAACAAGGAAAAATGTTTATATAGCATGGATTGTACGTGAAAGAACTTGGAAGCAACCCAAAAGTCCATCAAGAGTAGAATGGTAAGTTTCACTCCCTTCACCATTCTTCACTTTGCCTCCTGCCTACCACCCACTACTAAACTGAGGTGAGCATATTACTTTTTTTCAAAAGTATATCTTTATTTAAAATAGGAGCCCAACTACTTACTTTCCAAAATAGAGAGTTGGGATTTTTCTAGTAAAAAAATGAATTTCCACTGTGTTACTGTGTATGTAAACTCTGACAAGGTATTGTAATGTTTTATTGGGTGTTAATCTAAGTGCTCCTGTTTGTTTCTTATTTACTTTTTAAAATTCATAGATGGTAAAATAAACCTTTTTTTTTTTTTTTTTTGGTTTTCAGTTCTGTGTCAACAAATGCATACAGTCTGATCCTTGGCATTTTGGTTTTTCACAAAGAAGGATCAAGATGGATTAAAAGTATTGCAGCTAACAGATTAAGATTTTTTTTTCCTTGAGGCTCTGGTAAATGAAGCTGGATTCCACAACTCTGTGGCAAGTTGTGTTTACTCTATACATTCAAAGAAGTTCAGTTCTGTCTATTGGTCCTCTCTCTTACCCCTTACTTGAGTGGGCCTCGCTTACCGCCAGGATGGCCAGTGCTGGGCTGACCCCTTCTGCTTTGTACTTTTTGGTTTATCCTCTCTATACAAACTTCATGAGTCAGTACTGCAGCTAACAGACCCAAAGAAGGAATCTTCTAAACTGCTGCCTTTGCCTGTCAAGTATGAAGACAACCTAGTGCTCCCATCTCAGCAAGAAGGGGGTCTGCCATATCGGGCTACACTGTTTCCTAAAAAGTGTCAAGAGTTGGCAGCCAAGCGTTGTGGGAGAAGTGAATGCTGCTCATCTCACTTCTCTGTGAAAGGCAGGGAACCCTACCATTAGTAATGATATAGTTTTTAAAGAACATCAAACCAGCCAAGTTGACTGTTTAGCCATAAGTTCACCATTTCATTTGTTCTGACATTATGCAAAAAAAAAATCCAAATTTTTTCATTTATAGAAAATAGTAACAGAAATACCAAAGATGTCAGCCTATCATAAAACCAATTATTACCTCACTCAAAATTTTGCTGTCTCCACCCCAACTGCTTGAACCCTTCTAGTTTAGTGAGTGACTTCACAGCAATGGGATGCTGGGCCTCCCCTGAACAATAATCTTTACTGCCAGCCTCTGAGGGGTGGGTGGGAATTAGCATTTCCCATGATACTAATGCTGGTGGTTAGGGATCTGCAGTTGAGAATCACTGCTCTAAATCTAGTTAACAACTTACAGGAAATAATGTAAAGGAGAGAGGAACGTGTTCATACCCTGAGCATGCAACTTTTTGTTCAGACTCTGAGAAACAGTTCCTTCAACAAATAAATTATAAGGAAAAAGCAAGCAAGTAAAAAAAAAAAAAAAAAAAAAAAGAACCTAGAGATTAAAGGAGACTTAATATGCCCAGAGAGCAAAGCCAAGATGGCAGCCCAATCAGAAGATAAGCCTGTCCTATGCAGAAGTTGAATGTCGCTGGCTACCAGTCTGCTCCAGGCCTCTAGTAGTGGCCACAGGCTGGAACTTGAGCCAGCCTGCTTAGACCGATCCCCTCCAAGTCATTCAAAAGGGAGCACTGCCTACGCCTACTTAAGTAAAATATTTGCTCACGCACCCATAGAACATATCCTGATATTGCTGAGGAGACAGAGATAGATTCCAGCTTCTACTCTGTAATGTGCTTCCGGAATAACACTGAAAAGGGC